AGAAGCTGTGGCTTGTGGTGGCAAAAGGCAACTGAGCCCTCGTAGATGTGGCCCTGGTTTTTGCAGAGGCTTTGGTTAATGCTGAATGGCCCTTTGCCCAGCCTCCCACTTGTCCTGTGGGGGAGGCCTCCGTGCTGTGGCTTCCTGGGGGAGGCCAGGCCTTGCCCCTTGCTTTTTTTTTGACCTTGCTAGGCAGGAGCTCTACCATTCAGGCCACATCCCCAAGTCATTTTGCTTTTAGCTTGTTCTTCAGATAGGGTCTCCAGCTCTCAATCCTCCTACCTCTGCCTCTGGAGTAGCTGGAATGACAGCTGTGAGCCACCATGCTCAGCTTTTTGTAATTTTTTTGAGATGGGGTTTCACTATGTAGTCCAGCCTGGCCTTGAATTTGAGATCTTCCTAATTTTGTCTCCTAAGTGCTGGGATTACAGGTGTGCACCTTAAAAAAATTAACAGACTTTATACGTTTGAAGAAAAAGGGTCTGCTCTTTTCTTTTCCCGTTACTTGATTGCATGTTTGTTAACTGGAGAATGCCAAAGCCCACCAGCGCGTTTTGACCAGCCAAAGCTCATGCTCAGCTGTGCTCCATGCTGCCTGCTCTCTAGGTTTTTGACAGATGTGCGTGTCCTCCGTTGATGTCAGCACACAGGATAGTTTCCCTGCCCCACCTGGTCACCCTCCCTCTCTCCTGTGTGGCAACTTCTAGTCTCTACAGTCTCTGTAGCTTGACCTTTTCCAGAATGTCACAGTTGGAATCACAGCATAGGTAGCCTTTTCAGAATGGCTTCTGTCACTTTTTATATGCATTTAAGTTCCTTCCGTGTCTTTTTGTCGTTCCATAGCTCATTTCTCATTGCTCTACAGCATTCCCTTTTGGTTGTTTGGTTGTTTTTGGTAGTATCAGAATTTGAACTCAGGGCCTCACCAGTTTTTTTAATTTTGCTTTGCCGTGGGCGTTCATATGTACTGAGCTCTCAGTGGGTCTGCCCCTTTCTTAGCACTTTAGTTCCTGAGGTGGGAGCTACTGTCACTGTCATCTCACACATAAGGAAGAGGTGTGTCACTGGCTGAGGTAGAGCAGGAAGCAGGCTCAGCGACTCAGGGAGTCACCTGGACAGGAGGTGGGCGCTGCTCCAAACCCCGTGCTTCCTCCTGAAGGCGTGGGGAGCCACAGCCAGATTTGCACTTTGGAAGATGGGACTGAGTAGTGTTGGGGCCGGGGTCAGGGACCTGGCTGCACTCTTGTGAGCCCTAACCCCCTTGCAAGTGTCTTCTCAATGTCCCCACCTCAATGTCCCCCATCTGTTCTCCCAGGAGCCTCCCACAGATACAGCTGGTGACAGAATGACAGCTGAGGCTGGGGTGGGGATCTGACCAGTGTCCCTGGCACTCTCCCCAGGTCCTTTGTCAGAGCAGCTCTTTCTCCAAGTACTGCCAGGCTGTCTGGTGTGGAATGAGAAGCTGGTCTCCAGCCTCCAAGGTGAGGGGGTGGCAGATGCAGCCAGGCCAGTGTTGATTCCTGACATCAGCAGAATCTCAACCTTCCTCCCCTGCTCCAATCCTGCTGAAGAACCTTCTATGGCTCCCATCTCCTTGTGACATAGATGAAACCCAGGGCTTGGAGACAGGAGCAGAAGTCAGGCATCCCTGGGAGTCACCTGTTTCCTTTCTGGCCTCCTTTACAGGATGAAGTGAGCTATGTCACTCAGTATTGCAAATCAACATAGATGTCCTGAGAGCTGCTGGGACTCAGGTGAGGGGGTGAGAGGGATGGGGGTGGGGCAGGACAAGGATGGAGAGGCGGCCATGCTGGCAGGTCCAGAGAGATGCAGAAGTTACATGGTCAGACTGACCTGGTATCTCCAACTATGGAAATAGTTCAGTATCTCCACATTCCTGTCCTCTATTTATTGCCCTTGTTCTGTTTTTTATTTTTTAAAGGGGATGGGAAGGTTGAGGCTGTAAAGAGGGCATTTTGAGCATCCAAAAGGGTAGACTGTAGTGGCCTTCACACTCACTATTGTGTCTATATTATTGTGGATATCAATGCAGTCTTCCACTGTGAAAATATGAGTCTATTTTCTCTTCACTCTCGAGCAAATGACAGCAGTGATTCAAATATATTCACAGCAGTGCTACTGCAAATTAGAACTTTTTTTTAAAGACAGGCTCTATGTAGCCCAGGCTAGCCTCAAACTTGCAATCCTCTTGCTTCTGCCTCCCAAGTGCTGGGATTACAGGCATGTACCAACCACCCCAGGCTGCAATTTAAAGCTTTTTGTTGAAGGAAACCAGACTTGGTACTATAGAAATCCTGTTGACTTCAATATGGGTTCAAATCTTGGCTGTTAACTCACTTGGGGCGACTTCAAATGCCTTCCTATAGGAATGAAACTATGAGAACCAGAGAAATCTAGAGATGAATGGATCCTAGTTTTGTTACTTACTAGCTGTGCCTCATTGGCTCAATCACGGCCTCTGAGCTTTCTTTTTTTTCATTTAAAAGCACCTAGCTCATAGGTGTGGGTGGCAAATGAACCAAACCTAGGGCCTTCCTTTTTCATTTTCCACTGGACTGTGCGTGGGTCAAAAGGAGGGGAAGGTATTACCCAACTCTAGCCTGTTATTGTCCTTTGCTCAGTTGCTGTCTAGGGGACACAGTGCAGTCCAGAACAAGCATTGCATTTAAACCTTGAAAGTATGACAGGAGTGACTTGTGATCTGGTGAACAGGGATGCTCACCAACCATCAGGCCCACAGGGGTTCATTATCAATACGAAAGACAAAGTCTACAAGCTCAGTCCTGTGAGTCACAGACATCCACGGGAAGAGAACCTGTCCACCTCACTCATACTTCATTCCCAGTTCCTAGAACAGTGAAAAACTGCCGGAGAACCACTGGGGATCTCCTATATACATATGCAACTTATGTGCCAATATACTTAAGGCTCCCAGTGCTACATTCATTTAGTTAGAAACCAGTGTGCCTTAACGTTTATGAGTGTTCCAGTGCTCATGGTAAGTGACAAAGGTGCTTACATAGACTTGACTGTTTAGAATATGAACAGGAACAAGGCCTGGGATGCAATCTGGAAAGTCAGGAGTGGCAAGGTTAGGGTGGAAGAAAGATTTGGTTTTGGCAGTACTGGCGTTTGAACTCAGGGCCTTACACTTGCTAGGCAGGTACTCCAGCACTTCAGCACATGACCTCCAACTAAGATGAATTTTTAAAACACTGGGTTTAAAAAACTAATTAGAAAATGCAAAAGGTAGGTCCCAATTCTTACGTGGATAAAACTGGGGAGTACTGAATTCTTGCTACCCACTGTAGGCCAACATAAGGTCCTCCAAGGTGCTGGAGCTCAACGTATCATGCTATCCCAGCAATGGGTCCATTTACCTAAGAAACATCTGGGGGCAATGCCAGGTGTTGGGAAGGCAAGGCACTGTGCCCAGGAGTGTGCAGTTTAGGAGGAGTTAAGAGAAGCAAGGTCTGTAAGATAGGCCGGGCCACACAAAGCCAAGGCATGCAACATTGAAAGGACACTAGAGTTCTTTGTTGGCTGCCCAGTGTTCTGGAAATCCACCCACCCTCCCTCACATCACACAGCTGCTTGGGACCACCAAGTTCCTTCCCCAGGCCGCCTGACAGGGCTTGTGGGTCTTTACCTTTTGGCTCCCTCCTATCACTGTCTTTGACCAGGCCACATGTCATCTGGCATTGCATGTCCTGAAGCACTGGTCTTCCTACATCCAGCTCCCCACACCACTGTCAAGTCTGGAAGCACAGCTTTACTTCCCACACCAAATACTTTCAATGTTCCCAGTGCTTACAGGACAAAGTCCCAATTCCTCCTAACAGAAGGCCCTCTGTGACCCAGTCTGTCTTGTGAGCCTTGCTTCTCTAATGCTGCTCAAACCTCACTTTCCTGGGCACAGTGCCTATGCTTCCCCAATGTATTGGCATTGCCCCTAGATAGTCTTTTCAATATGAATGCCTTCCCCACAAACCCTGATGGTAAGCCTCAGTGTTCCTGGGCCAGATGAAGCTCACTTCACCCTTGTGTTGTCATTTGCAGAGATCAAAGGCAAAAGAAACCGCTTCTGTATTCCTGGTGCATTCTACAGGTCTGGTTACAGAAGGCAACAGGACAGTTGTTGCATGAGCTCCTAAGTGGCAGTTTGGGCAGTGGCTCTTTCCTCCCCAGCCTCTTGCAGTGGGTCACGAGGCTCCTTGGCTTCCTCCTTGCTGTGCTGCCTCACTAACTCCAAAGGCTGAGAATAGATGGGAGCCACTGTCTCAGGCACCTTCTAGAAAGCTGGAACACTTATCACAGGAATGGCTGGGACAAGGCAACCTAGCAGTTTCCCCATGGTTTCAATTTGTTCAGACCCTAAGCTGATGACAGGATCATAACAGTGTAGCTCCACAGTACAAAGAACCCCAGCTGCAGTTCTCATCAGCTTGGCCAGGAACTTGTTTTGGTGTGACTGGTGTTTGAACTCAGGTCTTTGTGCTTCCAATGTAGGTGCTCTACTGCTTGAGCCACACCTCCAGTTATTGACTCTGGTTATTTTGGAGATTTGGGGGGGTTTTACATTTTCATGGGCGGGGCTCAAACTGTGATCCTCTTGATCTCAGCCTCCCAAGTAGCTAGGATTACAGGAGTGAGCCACTGTGCCTGGTGGCTGTGAGCTTCTTAAAGAAGACTCCAGAATCCTAAATTCTAGGAGCCTCGCCTTCATCCTGCTGGATGAGGAAAATCCCTTAGGAAGTCTTGGCTCCCTACCATGGATGATGCTAAGGAACAAAGTGGCAGGACTGATGAACTTATTATGCTATGAGAGAGTCTAAGATCTATCAGGAAATGCAACGTAAATTCAAGCACCATGAACTTTTGTCAAGCAAAAATAGTCTTTATTCAAATTTAATGGAAACAGGGGTCACTATACTTTGCAAGACAGGGAAAATAAAATTAAAAAAAATTCTTTTCTTTTCTTTTTTTAATATAAAACAATATAATCACAATACCAGAATATGGAACTCTACAGTTTATCTCCTATGGGTTACTGCAGGTATCAATTCTCCTTGACTGTGCTATTCACAACTGTGTTAAGTCCAAAAATATGAAACCAAAGTGGTCGGAAACTGAAGACTTAGCACTTTCACTAAATGGCATACATCAAAGGGCGTCAATTCAAGGGCAAAAATGGTTGAACTCACCATACCTACCTACGCCATCATTCCAGCCTTAAAGCCGTCCAGGTACCGAGCTCCCTGTAGGAAAGGTCAGGCCTGAAAGCCGAGGCATTGTGGATAGTCTACTGTGGGCCGTGAGTAAAGGGGGGTTTCGAAGACTTTTTTTTTTTTTTTCTTCAGTCGAGCAGGAAGGCCTGGCGCCAGGAGGCTTTACTGAGAGGAAGCACTTAGATTTAACAATTGTAGACACACCATTAAGGGAGTTAAAAATGTACAGCAGTGACATTTGTTCTACTTCAATCACTTGTGCTACGGCTACCAAACATGTACAAAAGACTTCTCGGGTAGTTCCAGCTGTGGTTGTAGCCAGTTAGGACCTTGAGTGGGACCTAGATCTAGACCGGGAAGGAGATCTAGAAGCAGACCTGGATCGAGACTTGGACCGAGACCGGGTTTTTGAAGCTGACTTTGATCTGGATCGTGATTCTGACGGGAGGTTTGGTTTCGATTTGGAATTGGATCTTGACCGGGACCGAGTCTCCGGATTAGGGCCAGCCTCCTCACTCTCTCCTCGGCCTTCCCTCTGACCAGACTCAGCCTTGGCGTGTTCTCGCTCCTTTGACACTGAGCGGGACGGAGACCTGGACTGTGAGTGCTCAGTGTCTTCCTTCTTCTTCCTCTTGCTGCTGCCCACCTTGCTGTCTTGCTTGCTGCTGCGCCTTCTGCTCCGCTCACTCTTGCTGCGGGAGCGGCTGCGGGAGCGGCTCTCCTCCCTGCTCCTCTTTCTGCCCTTCCTCTTGTCTTTGCTTTTGCTGCGACTGCGGCTGCGACTGCCGCCTTTGCTCCGGCTTCGGCTCCGGCTCTTGAGGAGGCTCTTCTCCTGGCTCCGGCTCCTGCTCACGCTCCCTCGCTTCTCCTCCTCCACTCTCCTCTCCTGGCTCCTGCTCCTACTTTTACTCTTACTTTTATGCCGGCTGGGGCTCCGGCTCTTGGGTTTGCCAGTGTTGTTCTGGACCTTGTCTTCGGCGTGGTCTTTGCTCTTGCTGCGGCTCTTGCCTTTGCTGTGGCTCCGGCTGCGGCTCTTGTCTTTGCTAGGGCTCCTGCTTTTCTCCTTTTTGCTGCGGCTGCGGCTTGGGCTACGGCTGCGGCTCTTGCTCCGGGAGTGGGAGCCAGACCTGAGGGGACACAGGTACTGTGTTAGACACAGGGGACTTGACACTTCATACCAATCAAATGAAAAGACCACCGGGGAATGTGTGGAGCTACACCCCCAAACTGGATGATGGCTACACTGGCCAAGGGGAGATCACTGGGTTAAAACCCAAGAGAGACATGATGCAGGTGCGCAGGTGCTCTTGCTGTCCTCCCTGTGTCCCAACGCAGACTCACCTGGATCGGGAACGGCTCTTAGAATGACTGCTTTTGCTGCTGCCACTTCGGCTTCTGCTCTTCCGGGAATGTCTGCTTCGAGAGCGAGACCTGTGGGGAGAAAGAAAAAATTAAACTTGTGTACAAAGGGCCAACTGACTAGAATCAACCATCTTTCAATCAAAAATTAGGTTCACCACTGCTGTGTCCGGGCACACATTCTCCTGTGGTCTAGGCCCACAGAGCCAGTCTGCTGCATACATCCCATGTGGATGGCTGCCGTGAAACTCTTGCCACCTCCAACCTGAATCCCTACTTTCCTGACCTGGCTCCTTTTTGCTGGCTTCCTCATTTTCATTGGACACTGTGATTTCTCCAGATCCTCACCCTTGACTGTCCCTTCCTCTACTGATGACCGCTTCTTATCTTGTCTGTGCTGCCTCCCCTCCCCCAACCCAAACATCAACCACACAACTCACTTTTCTGTTGCAAATGCTTCTGACCTTTACTTGTTTCTTCCCCTCACTGTCTTAAGAAGACAGATTCCCTCAGGTGGCTCATGCCTATAATCCTAGCTACTGAGGAGACAAGAGATCAGGAGGATAGCAGTCTGAAGCCAGCCTCTGCAAACAATTCTCAAGACCTTATCTTGAAAAATACCCATCATAAAAAAGGGCTGATGGAGTGGCTCAAACAGTTAACAGCCCTGCCTAGCAAGCATGAGGCCCTGTTTGTTCGGCAGCCCTCAAACCCCAGGGCTGCCAAACAAAGACCGATTCATCAAGCGTTAGAAAACCTTACTAAACCTGGACTCTTTGGCCACTGCCTACTTAGGAAATGACTGATCCCAAGTATAGGGCAGTAAATGCACAAGACTATGCTTAGGACATCTCACTGTGACAGAGACAGAAGTGTTCAGAGCCTCTTGGGCACTGCCACCTATGAAGGACTTTTGTCAAAAATGTCTAACTTACATCTCAATTGGACCTCGCCAGAGCTCCCTTCCAGATTACAGAAAATCCAGGGGATCTCAGTTCAGTGATACCAAGAAGAGACAGATAAATCCAGAATGCGGGGTAGTTATTTAAAAAGTCAAGAAAAATAAATGCTATGAGGGAGAAAGATGGAGAAAGGCTACAGAGACTTATTAATTCTTTGCAATGCATAACAGGATTTGACCCTGTTCAGGAAAAAAATCCAGCTATAAAGACATCCATAGAGTAATTAGGGAAATACAAATTCAGCTTGAATATTAGGTGATGATAGAAATATGTACTGTTAATGTTCTTAAGTGAGAATCTAGAACTGATAACCATCATTTTTGGAGACACATTTAGGGGTAAAGTGTCACAATTTTTACAACTCTATCAAAGCAAAATAAATGTATGTTGTATATATTTGCGCACACGTAAACATGGGGGGAGGGAAAGAAAACAAATACTGTTAAATGTGAAAGGCCACTGATTATGGTCTCAGATAAAGAACTACTTCTATTTATACTCATGACATAGGAGTTCAAGAGTTTTATAAACAAATACTCAAAGTTCTGAGTTACTGAACCAGATGGGATCATGCTACTGAGAACCCACCAGAGGCACATCAGCAAACTATCTGTTTGTTAATAAATTGTTTTGAGTGCCCATACACCAAGACGTCAACAGTACCTTGAATGGCTCCGGCTTCTGGAGTAGGACCGGCGTCTTCTAGAACCTGGCTTGTCTTCAACTAATCTGATTTTTCTGCCATTAACTTCAGTTCCATCCAACTTTTCTAAAGCTCTTTTCATATCAGAATAAGATACAAATTCAATCACACCTTCATTTTTACGCCCCTTGTGAGCATCTGCATAGGTTACTTCTCCTGCCTGACGCATATAATCCTAAAGGAAAAAAAAAATTCTTGAATACATCAGGACACATTTTGTTAAAATATCTGACATAATCATCATAGTGAAAGGTTTTCTCTTCCTTTAAGAAATGTCAGCTTTCTCAGAATGAAGTTTATGCTTAAATATTCCCACCTACCCACCAACCACTTATTGAAGTTCTTTTTTTTGTTTTGGTTGGGGTTTGAACTCAGAGCTTTGCCCTTGCAAAGCAGGTGCCTTAGTGCTTGAGCCACACCTTCAGCCCCTGAATTCTTAACCCTACCCTACACTATGGGTGAAACTACCAATTCTCAATACCACCAACAGCACACTTTCCTACACAATTTTCACCTTCAAGCCATCATCATTGAGTGTTACAAACTTCATAGATTTGTTTTAAATTTTTATTAGACTATATTCATTGCAGGGCTGGCAGAGTGGCTCAAGTGGTCAGAGCGCCTGCATGAGGATGAGTTCAAACTCCAGTGCTGCCAAAAAAAAAAGAAAAAAGATTCTAGAATATATGGTACATAGAGATCCATTGTACAATTCTGAATATGCTCACATTATACATTGGTTAGATCACCACCAATTTTATAGATTTTTTTAAACAAGATTCCTTAATCTGATTTTATTTTTGGATTTTTCCATATTAATAGCTAGCATTTATTGTGCCAGGAACCATTCTGGAGTTTTAGTAAGTATTTACTCGATTCTTATAACCTTGAGAAGAAATTAATATTATTACCCTCATTTCATAGTTGAGGAATAGAGGCAGGAAGGTAAGGAACTTGCTATATCCTTATCTCAACCAACAAAACCCCTTGTTCCTTCCTATTATTGCTTATACTCTCTCTACAACAAAATTAGAGATAAGGGCAAAATAGTTTCTGCTGGGTATTGAGGGGGGGAGCGGGAGGGGGCGGAGTGGGTGGTAAGGGAGGGGGTGGGGGCAAGGGGGAGAAATGAACCAAGCCTTGTATGCACATATGAATAATAAAAGAAAAATAAAAAAAAAAAAAAAAAAAAAAAAAAAAGGAACACAATTGGCAAGCGGCAAGGGATTTATGGACCCTTGACTCACTAGGCAATTTGTTTTGTTATCTATTGCTCCTGTTTGCCTGAGAGTAAAAAGGTCCAGAAGTACAAAGTCAACTAAGGATGTTGACTAGGCTCTATCTAATTAACCAAAGAATTGAATGTTTTTGTAAGAATTTGTAAGAATTTAATACTATATTTACTAACACCCCAGGAAGGGTGGCATTTTCTTTCTTGTTCTGGGCAGTACTTGTGATTGAATTCAGGGCCTTGTTCTACCACCTGAGCCTCATCCCCAGCCCTTGTGTTTGTATTTTGTGATTGAGATAGGGTCTCACTAACTTTGCCCATGCTGGCCTCAAACTCTCCATCTTCCTGCTTCCACCTTCTGAGTAGCTGGGATTACAGCCACCACACCTGGCTAAGGCTGGCATTTTCTGCTCTTAAAGAGTAAGTGGCTTTCCAGTTTCTGCCCACAATGCCAAAGCCCCGCACTTAAGAGTATATGATGCATTTATTCCTTTTAGCATGCACAGCCTCACCAGGAAACATCCCATAAAGGACTGCTGTAATGCTGGCAGCCAACCAAACAGACTACTAAAACCTGGGCCCAGCTCTTCTGCTATAACTTAACCTTTACTGGAACTCATCCTTGTTATTTGAAGGTTCTTGGGAGTAAATTTTGCAAAGAAAAAAAAAAACAACAAAAATAACTTACATTAAGATGATATGACTACTCTTTCTGGAACCTAAATATACTCACTCGTTTTGCTAAGGATGACTTATTTTTTGGTGGATTGAAAAAGTGAGACGTGCCAGACACTGGTGGCTCACACCTGTATTCCTAGCTACTCAGGAGGCAGAGATCGGAAGGATTGCATTTGAGGCCAGCGTGGGCAAAAAGTGAGACCCTAGTTACATGCGAAAAAAGGCCAGGTGGAGTGATTCAAGTGGTAGAGCACCCGCCTACCCCAGTATTGTTTAAAAAAAAGAAAAAAAAAAAAAAAAAAAGAGAGAGACATGAGACAGGAATAATATGGGTTGGTCAATTTCAGCTATGAGGATTCACATTAGAAGGTGATGTAAATTTCTAGGTTATAACTAGTGTTTCCAGTAACAATGGTGGTTCCAACCTTTTCTTTTATTGGTAAGAATCTATACTGGCATCTCCCTTGATGCTGCCTACAAAGGAAATTATATTAACATTGATTTGTCCTCAGAGTGATGGTCCCACACAAACAGTATGAGTGAAATTCTGTTGTCTTTTCTCCTCCTGTAGAACTTTTAAATGGAGAATTTTTCAATCCTCTGGAGTGGTTTTGAAACAGGTAATACCATCATATTTGGTGAATTCCTGGGCCCACAACATACCTGTTTCCTAATCTTACTCTTGCCCAATCTTACCCCAGAAAATTAATGAGGCCCAAACCTTTAGGTCTTGCCAGCTGCACCGACTTGACAAATTCTCCACAATAAGTCTGTACTCTGTGCGGGTAGGAGGACCGTATTTATCTCGGCCACTTCTTCTATAACCATATCCACCTTTGGAAGGTTCAAATAGACAAGATGGTTTTAGTGGGGGAAAAGGAAAAGATGACACAGCACAAACCCTTAGAATCTATCATCCACCCCCCCCCACCCCTAACACTAACACATATACTTGCTAGTCCCACCCTTAAGTCTAAAGTAGATTTCTTAAAAACCTATCAGTTAAACATGAAATATAATTTAAGTTGTAAGTATATATGTTATTAATATTTACAATTGAAATGAACATGCAGAAATTAAAAACTATCAGTAATTAAAAAATTTAGAAATAAGTAAGCAAACGACTATGTCAGTTACTGTTGTTACTCACAGTGATTAAAGTTTTTGTGAATATTTTACATGGAAAAAAAAAAAGATTGTCAGGCACCTATTTCAGTTTAATCTCATCTGTGTCTAACCCTTGGGATCCTCACCACCCAGGTCTAATGGGGAAAGGTTGCGGTCGTCACATGGCTTCCTGTTTTTGGTCAGCCAAGGGCCACAAAGGTTCAAAGAGCCACGCATGGAAAGGTAACCCAAGGTCAGCAAATGGAACAGGCAGTCATCTTAGCCTCAAAGGATTCTTTTAATTAAAACATTGAGGTCTTTGTTAAATCTATGTTAAACAATTGCATTACAAAGAAAAAAAAAAAAACACAAACACATATCATTACACATGTTTATAAAGTATTAAAACAAGTAATTTGTCATTAATTTAATTAAAATTAAGCATTATTAAAGATGTCTATTTGCAATTCTATATTTAAAAAGATACAAAATTCATAAGACAAATGGTTTAAACATCAGTACATTTATATATAATATTAATGTAAAAATTGGCATTTAATAAGAAAGGCTTGTCATTGATACAAATGCTCCCTTCAAATGCTTACTGCGTCCAGAACCGTAGCTGCCATCTCGACGCGGGCCGCGGGCGTGCTCAACAATCACTCTCTCCCCACAAAGGTCTTTGCCATTCAGTTCATACACAGCATCATCTGCATCACGCAGATCATCAAACTCCACAAAACCATACCTACAAGAGAGCAAACAAAATTCCCGTTGGCACCCTTTTGACACCCAAGCTCACTACCATGTAAGAGAAATCAATGAGGGTCATGCTTAGCATAGGTTAAGTGGATTTTGCAAACTAAGGGCTAGCTTTCTCTTCAATTTACCTGAAACCACTCTGCTTTATGCCTACAGGCACTGAAAGAGGTAGGGAGACCTCTTAAAGTTTACCTATCTTTCTAGCAGGAGGCTGGCTAGATATATGGAAAACACTTCTTTTGTTCCTCAAGTAGCTGGAGGCAGCAGCAAACAGCTCCAAGAGATGCTTGGTTTAAGGTATCAAATTATTGCAACTCCTTAAGAAGGAATATCTGCTCTTTCAAAATATCACATTAAAAACTCATCATTTTTAGCTTTAAAAATGATATATTAGAGAATAATCAGACTACATCCAGGCACTGTTGTATTAATTGTTATGTCTTATTTGGAGTAACATAGTAGGTAAAAAATCGTATTATCTTAGATCTCCTCTGTGAAAGAAAAAAAAAAAGTTCCTGTTCCTCTAACCAAAAAAAAAAAAAAAATTAATCACAAGTGAATTAACTGTTCTAAAAATTATCAGTTAATAAAAAAAAACCTGGAGCTATTTAAATCCCTGTGAAATTCCACACTCATTTCCATGAACTTCTGGATAGGCTGGAATTCTCCAAAATTTATATACAGCTAGGTAAACTTCTTTACAGTGTATTACTAGGAATTGCCCAGCAAAGACATATGGTGGCTTAACACATGGGGAAAAAAACCCCAAATCCCCCAAATTCTATTAATGTCTACTACTAAAGAGTATAATTTGTAAAAACATACATCTTGCAAGATACTTATAAGCAAGGTTAAACAAGCACCCTGTAAACTGTTATCAATAAACCTTTAGTTTGGTCTAACACAGGTGTGAGAAAAGCCTAGCTCTGTGACCACTGCCTGTATTTAAAATTACCTTACTGATCCTACATAGGAAAATTACAAGCAATTTCTTTAGCCTTGTAACAAGTCTGTGTACAGAGGTCAACAGTGTTCCTATGTAAACACACTGACACTAAAAACAGGCTACAATGCTTGCCAGGGCTCATCCGGCCTGCTACTGACTCAAACAGAACAGAACAGAACAGAACAAAACAAAACAAAAATGACTACAGCGTGCCCGTGTATATTTTTCTGAGACAAGTCTCTTTTTGGGCTCATCCTGAACTTGCAACCCTCTGCCTCTGTCTCATAAATGCTGGGATTACAGATGTGCATCACGATGCCCAACTATCACAGTTTCTCGAGTATGTAGTGTTGTATTCAGTAACATGTTTATAAAAAGTGAGAGAACTCCGAATTACTCAAATTCTCTTTTACTAAAGAGAGTTCTTTCCATACAAGAGTGTCTCAAGGTGACAATGCTCTAGGTAATAAGGTGCAAGTTACAAGATGTAGGTCACAACTCGGGAAGTTCTTTATGCTGAAATGCCAGAGTGGCGTTCAAACTTTGAATCACTGAATCTCAGCTCCATTAAAAAATGAAACAGACGCACCCAGTTATCTAATAGGAAGTGCTTTGCAGAAACAATGCAGAAATCATTGCCCAATTCATGAGCTGGAAAGTCTTTAAAACATGGTTTCATGCTTCTGTAGGCTGGAACTGGAGTAGCTTAAGAATGATTTTGAACATGACGTTGTATTTGACAAGTAAAGCCTCTCCAAATCACTTTATGGTCACTTAAGATTTATAATAGGTAATGCACTGGAGATGCTTTTCCCTTTCCCAGATAGAAAGGGTCATCAGGAAAGCTATACTATTATTTCCAAAGTTAAAAAAAAAAAAAAGAAAAAAAAAAAAAAGCAAATAAAAACCCAAATCTAACTACTTTACTTTGACTTATCTTCAGTTTGGTTTATTTTTTTTTTTTGATAGAAAAAATTTCAAAAAGAAAAAGAAAAAAGTGCCATTCTTAATGTAGTTATCAAGACCAGTTTTGGGTGGCTCTGCCCATAGCACTGTGTTGAGAGCCTGATGCCAAGTGGAGGGATGAGTGAAAACATGCGACATGGGCACGGTGAAACGGCCTTCTCTCCCTAAAGGGTACCCAAACTTGGTTCCTTCAGTAACCAGACTGATCTAGTCTGAGGTCAGAATACCCCTGACTCCTGAGGATTAGATAAACTGGTTTCTTCCAAACCGTGAAGGCTGACACTACCCAGGCATCACAGGATGCAAGACCCAAAGCATTGCAGATGCCACGTGATGTTTCTGTTAGACCCATGTGGAAGGCATCCTCCCAGACTTAGATACAAGGCTTACATGCAGAACTCACTCTGGCCCTTTGGGGAAAGCAATGATAATCCATTTAGTGGAGGTACAATTATTTTAAAATAAAAATTAATGCTCAGACAGACCAATCTCTTTACAAGCTGAGGCTCAAGCAAGGTATATCTTACCAATAAAACTCTCTCCTGAGATATAGGGACAATTTGTTATGTTAGAGAAAAATCTCTAACATTTATTTCTAAAGCATTCAAAGAAATGTGGGTCACTTCGTAGCTATATTTTGGGGCTATTCAAGTCACCTAATTAAAACAGCTGACTTAAGGTCCAATTTATTTCATAGAAAAATTGTGTGAAAAGCTCTTCTGTGAAAAGCTGCAAAATCTATTTGGAGCATTTTTGTCAAAGTCCATTCTAAGGGTCAAATTAGCACTTGACTGTCACTTTTTCTGCCACTGGCATGCTGGGTGGGTTTGGAAGATTAAAACAAAAAAGCCCCACAGAAGAAACAACACCTGATAGGCACTCTCATTCTGAGAGTGAAGTCAACACTGGGTCAGTGTGTTGTTGCTTCTACCAAATTACTACTTAGGTCTGCTTTCTTTGAGTAAATCCAGTGAGCAGGTCTCCCAGATAAAACAGGAAGACCAGACAGGTAACAGTAAAATGCTACCTAACATTTACTAAGCACTCTCTTACTCTAGGTGATGTTACTTTGTTTACATAGTAGCACTGAAGAGCCAGGTACTATCATACCTAATTCAAAGATGAGAAACTGAGGCATAAAATAATAAAGAACTCGTATAAAAACTCAGCAGAGCCTAGCATTCAAAGTCTGTGATCTGACACCAGGGCTCATACTTCTAACTATCACACCGAGCAAAAAGCACTGGCCTGAGCACTAGCATGGTTTCATTAGAAAGTAACTCTCAACAGTGTATTTAAATCATTTTACTTCTTTGGGTCTTGATTTACTAGTAAAATGGCAGTTATACTATGTATTTCTAAGGTTTCTTCTAAGACCAAAAGTATGATAAATCTGTACTCCTTTGACTCAAGGACAGTTTAAACTCAATCAAGAAGGTGTCACCAGTGGTAAACAATAACGGGACAGGGATAAATTTAGTTTCTATCATGTAAAATGCCTTTTAAAACTATGGCTCTCAATATTATTTTATTTTTATTTTTTGGCAGTACTGGGGTTTGAACTTAGGGCCTCACTCTTGCTAGGCAGGTGCTCTACCACTTGAGCCACTCCACCAGCCCTCAATATTAGTTTTATTTAAACATTCAAAGAGTCTTTTAGTTAAACTTTAGTTCCTTCAAAAGGCAAAGCTCTTCCTGGTAACTAACATTAGAGAGTCATTTAAAAATCAACCCAAACATCCCTTTTATGCTTTGCAGCAAGCACCACAAACTAATCTTTTCTCTCAAATGACTCTCTTTTCGAATCTTTTGTCAAAGCAGGGAGGGATACAAAATGCATACCTGGATGTACATATGCCATTTTATGTATGTATGCATGTCTATGTCACATGTGTATGCATGTCTATGTCACATGTGTACACATCTCTGGTGGGACCTGTAACTAAGCCTCACAAAGCACAATCTAACAGATAAACTTCTAACTGCAGACACCTTCCTTTTCTGCTCTATTAAAAATGAAGAACATCTTTTAATAATTCTAGTATGAGAATGAAGGATTAAAAAACACAAACTCAGCTTACTCTCAAGATGCCAGCCTCATCAGCGTTCTCCCTAGCTTATGAGGAAGGATAGAAAGTGAGGTCCTACTATTCACATGCACAGTATCAAAAACTCCTTTCGTCAATGTTTTTCTGCTATTGCCTTTTCCCAAAGTGTTTTCCTCTGGTCCTGTTCTATCCTGGGAAATTTAGTCAAAACAATGAGGGGAAGGAGAGTAAGCTGTCACTTTTCCCCTAAAAAACAAAACAACACAACCCAGTATCATGATTCACACCAAGTGAAGACAGGTACCTGGACACCTGCTGAATTCCCTGGATTGTTCTAACTTCAGTACACTTTCTCTTTTTTTTTTTTTGATGACTATATTTTTGAGACAGGGTCAATGTAGCTCAAGCTGGCCTTGAACTATCTGTGTATTCCTGGCTGGCCCCATACTCTTGATCCTCCCACTTCTGCCTCTTGAGTGCTAGGATTACAGTTATGTACCACCATGTCCACTTTCAGTCCATTCTTATCCCCATGCAATGCTCTAGTCTTCCTAATTCGCTACAGCTCATATACTGCTCAGGCCATCCTTTTCAGAACTCTGAAAAGGTACAACTGGAGTGACATATTTTCAAACTAAGGTCCTCCAAGACTTCAATTTTAGAAATGTTTAATCGCATTTCTTCATTTCAGAATTATCATCCAAGCCTGTATTATTGCCAAACAGGCTTTCTCTGATTCTAATACCCAATATCAATGGCCCCAACCACTAGGCCTGCCCCTTTCCCTTCTCTTTCTGTCCTACTGAAGAGTATGCAGAGCTTATCCCACCCTCTCCAGAATGGCTTCGGGTCATCTCTGTTTTCAAGCATCCTCATTATGCAGGGAGACTAGAGGACAGGCTCATTTGACAAATACTGAGCCTGGCCACTTGGCAGAGTATGACTAAGGGGGTGCACAGTACCTGAACCTGCCAGGGAGTGATGTGAGGAACAGGGAAAGCAAACCTCCATGCGCGTGACTGCGGT